GTTTAAACACCTGACATTATCGATTTCTGGGAGTTTTGATACATGAATTTTTTCATATCTGCATGCTTCAAAATTTTAAACGTTTAAACGGCTGATATTGTGAAATTCTAGGAGTTTTCATACACGAAGTTTTTCATACCTATATGCTTGAAAATTCTGGACTTTCTAATGGTTGATTTCATCGATTTCTAAGGGTTTTGACATGTGTGGCTTTTTCTTTGTAATTTCATGAAAATTTTGACTGTTTTAGCGGTATGTTACTGCGAATCGTAGGGCTTTCTTTGAATGAAATTCTTAGTATTGTTTTATTTTTCTAGTTTTAAGTAGGGTTTTCGTCTGTGTTGCAGACATTGTGGTCAGTATTCTTTATCGTGTTGAACGTTTCCAGCGTGTTGTAAGTTTGTTGGATTAAATCATTTCTGATTTATTGTCGCCGTCTTTTGATAGAGTAACAGATTAATTATGCTTTTCAGCTAAAGGATTGTTCCGGAGAAGATTGATTCGTAAGGAGCGACTTAAAGAAAAATCGCCTTTTGAGCACTTGAAAATCTTTATGTGAGGTCTGTCGCCGAAAGCGCTGAAAATTTGGTTTTGGATGTGGGTGGTGTGCGTGTGAGAGCACCCAAAATCACACCCACATCAGAAGCAGCAATAAAAAAGCGCTCGAACCAAACTAAAATGAGTTATTAGACCCTTGTCCCCCATTGTTCGAAATTCTAATTACAAGGTAAAAAACAATCATAACTTTATGTTTACCAATAAATCAACTTTTTACTAAAGATATAGCTAGTACACAATATTTTTTGAATAACAGCCTAGGTGCTATTTTTTAAATACATATCCTCAATGATTGGCTGCCTCTAAATTCTGCAATATCCTATAAAAAAAACGGAAGTACACTTCGGACATAAAAAACACATTTTAAATGCATTAAGGAAGCATGAGTCAATACATAGGTTGGAATTTTCCAACCAAAAAACAAAACGCAATTGGGAGAAAAACATAAAATGCCCCTCTCATTTCTTTCACTTTCTCGCATCTGAAGCGCCTCAAAAATCAACCAGACGTAAGTGTAACTGTTTTCTTGTGTTCCTACCAGCTTAGTTCATTATTCTTAATGATCAATGCTTCGTTTTTGTAACGACGAGTCTATCTCATGAAGTCAAATAGACAAGACTTTCAAGCATATAAGAAAAAGAAACATGTTACTTTAGTGACCGTTGCATAAGTAGATAGTATGAGAAAAACAATAAAAAAAAAAGAATAAATCTAAGCTAATGATAAAAAAAAAATCTGAGACATTTTATGCAAGGTTGTCTTTAAATAGTTCGCCATGTTGTTTCATTTTGAGGAGTTTTTATTTCTAATAGCACTTCTTGTAAAATATACTTTACAGTTAACAGAAGAAGTGAATAAATAATGAGATACTTCCTTGTCGTATATTTATATTAAATCGGAAAATTTCATGAATACGCATGCATCGTATGAAGGTCAGACAGAAAAGCAAAAAGAAAAACAAAAAAATAAAAATGAGAGTGACGCACTATTTTGATACGAGAGAAAGACCGAAAAAGGTGACCAACAATATTATTACGTTTTTTTCTGTTTGAGACTTTAGTTCCTAAATTGATAACAACATAAGGAACAAACTTATGAGGCTTGAATAGTCCCAAGTCTACCTAGGAGTGTCACTTAATCTTTACTTTAGTCGATAAAATAAAGTGTACATACTTTGCTTTATTCAGTATGATAAAGTCAATTACAATACTTTAAATATCATATTGATTTTGCAACGACAAATCATACACTGATAATAGTGCATAATATCACAGTACTTTTAGAATCAATTCTCCAATAAATAAGTGCTATGATAAGAAAAACTCTTCACTTCACTTCTCAACGAATATTGGTTCTCATTATTCAGGAACTAAATTGTATCATATTTAGAGATAGATTATTTAAATTAATTTAAAATTAGGTTGGCATTTTGATTTTACTGTGAAAGTTAAACTAGCTGTGTTACCAAAAGAAGAGGTTTTTGTAACAAAAAAGTTTATCAGCGCAGTTCCTTTGGAGCTGAAAAGTGGAACTCACGTATATCCTTCTAAGTTGTTATCCTAATGCATTATTTGTAAACTGAAAAATAGCTTTTTTCTCAAATAATTATGAATGCATTAGAATATTGTGTAGAATCTGAAGCCTTTTGTGCGCGGTTGCTGAGATCTGTAATGGGGGGGGGGGGTATGTCTGTAATGTTCTCTTCTCCATTGCTATACGCCTATAATGGGGTGGGGAAAGAGGAAGCCGGAAAACCTTGACCTTAAAACTTACACTCCCTATTTTCTTCGAAAATATACGTGAGTTGCATAAAAATGCTTTTTTTACTTAATAAATTTGTTTTTCAAAGAAAAAAACATTTCTAAGAAAAGTAATGCTTTTATGGAAAAAAGAAATTTACAAAAAAAGATGAAACTTAAAACTTCGAAAAACCGATTTCAGATTTGAGTTACCCTGCCCCACCACGGTTCCATTAAACTTTATAAAACTTCGCTTTTTTTTCTAAAATAGCTCCTCTTTGATAAAAGAGCTAATATAACTCTAAACTAAAGTTAAATTCTTAACCCTACTCATGCCTTTCATGTAACTGCTTAATTTTTGGTCAATTAAGTTTTCAGCTTAGAGTGAAAAACTTAATCTGATTTTGAATTTAATTGAATATTCCATTCCGAAATGAGAGTCAATATAGTTCTGGAATAATCTAAAAACAACTGTTTTCTAGAAATGTAGGTGAAGTTATCACCAGATTCGAATATTTCCAGCCCAGATTCATTCAGAAAATTGTTTCAACACTCTTATTCTTGCTCCAAGTATAACCCGACGGGGTCTATCCAGTGGCACACTCAGATTTACGATAGCTCGATCTATGCTCCCATAGGCTCCAAAAAACTGTAATATCCTACTCGGATTCTGAGACCAGAGTCGAACATTTCCAGTCCAAATTCGTTTAGGAACTTGCTGTACACATTTCATGTTTGTACCAGTTACAAATCGGTGAGCTCTATCCAACTATGTAATCGGATTTTTCACATATTGAGCTTTAATCTTTCGGTTTTGTACGCCGCCATCTGTGGTGCCAAAGATTATACTTTGGGTTATGGCAAGTCTGACCACATTGTTGGACAGAACTCATCGAGTTGCACTTGATACAAGTTCCTAAGTGAACCCGAGCTGGGGATAGTCCATTTTAGTGTCAGAATTCTAATAGGAGATAATGGTTTTTTCGAGATTTTGTGAGTACAGGTTGGGCTATCGAAAATCCGAGGGTATCACTGGGTAGGGCTCGTTGAGTTGTACTTGTAACAAGCATAGAAGTGTTGGAACAATTTCCTGAGCGAATGCGGACTAGAAACACTTTTGAAGGTGTGCGAGCTCTATTATGAAAAATCGAAAAAGTTGTTTTTGTCCAGTACTGGTTTGAGCTATCAAAAATTGAACTATACCGCTGAATAGATCTCGCCGAGTTGTGATAGGAACAAGAATAAGAGTTTTGGAACAATCTTCTCAGCAAAGTCGGATTGGAAATATTGCAGTCTGGTGATAGCTTCACTTACATTTTCTGGAAGAATAACTAAGAGTATTTTCGTCTTCGCTACCATCTGAACCTCGCGAAGAATTTCAAGAAAAGGGTTTCCGATGTCTTAGATACACAGAAAAACAAATTACGGTGATTTCTTGAATACTGATCTCAGACACCGATAAGAGATTTTCGAAGGTGACGAAACTGAAAGGCAATACGAGACTGCAAAACATAGCAATGATAAGATGGATTTCACCACTTTGCCATGCATCACGGCACCAACAAGATAGAAAATATGATTACCTCTCATTTGTTTAAATGCATTTTACTATTTCGATCATATTGATATAAGCCGAAACAAGAAGTGCCGGAATACCATTATCAATGTATAACACACGGGCAGAATCCTGTGACTAGATTTTTATCTTTTCATTTATTTACAACCCAGAATTCCATTGATGATAGATATGATTTTCACCCTCAGTTTTATCCACACCTACCATCACACGAGCAAGTTAAGACGATGATGTGACACTAGAAGACTCTAATATTCTTACTTTCGGCTATTTTGAAAACATAAAGCGAAGATATTAAATAGTTATTCTATTGATACTGAATAAAGAAAGGCAGGGAAAATGTTTAATTTTGCGGCTAATAATAATAATTGGTTTCCAAATCATTAATAACATATTTTTTTCTTATATACTCAAAGCCGCGACTAAGTCAAGAGTATCAAGATAATATTAAGTTATTTTGAAAGTGTAAAATGATTTTAAATCTCGAAAGAAAAACAATAATCCAAATAAAAAGAATACTCCTATACTAAATACATGAATAGTTTTCAATTAACTAAAAGTCTCTAATACTGAGCGGAAAAGAAGATCAAAAAAAAAAAAAAGAAATTTCGAGCATCGAAAATATTCTCATTCAAAGTTTTGGGATGATAAAAATCATTCTTTGGACCACTCGAAACATTTTCAAAGCTTCAGAAATTCTTTTGGATATTAAACAAAAACCCAGAATGTGGGTGTGGATGTAGGTATGGGTGTGGGTCTACGTGTGCGTGTGATTGTCTCTTCTCTTCAGTTACACACTCACACACACCCACAGCCACACCCACACTCACACCCACATCCACCCAAACCCGACAATCTACACTTGCATCCGATGCTTAGACATACTGCAATTCATACCTCACATCTTTTGGAAGATAAACTTGTTTTTTTACAGCCCAATAAAAAGCATTCTATACTCAAGGTCAAGTACTTTTTATCTGTGTTTGTTGGAAGAAATGAAACTGCAAGTTGGAAATTTCTTCACTATAAAAACTCTGCTTTCGTCTCATTATATAGACTGAGGAATGTCAGACAGTATGACTGGGTACCAACAAGGAAGATGGACGAGGGAACAACATGATCGTCTAATGTGTCGTGGCTGTACTTGGCCACTTTATCCAACCATACAACTCGATTGTTGCGGACAAAGAATATGTAAAGATTGCATTCCTTATATCAAGTAACACTGTTTTATACTTTTATTTCACTAAACTTTGCACGCTTATATTCTTCTAGAAGTACAGAATTCAAGTGTCCGTCGTGTGGTGTTTCAAATATTAACGTATGATGGAATGAATATTTCTGCTTAATCAAAATCAAGACTAGATTCTATATTTAGATCAATCCCGATAAGGGACATACGCGTGAAGTTGAAAACCTAGTAGTAAATTGTCCAGAATGCGATTGCACATGGGATGGTTTATTTAGAAATTTAAAAGTAACTCTATTTTGTTGAAGCTTTTTTTCTCAACTCTTACTGTTCCTCTAGGATCATCTCAAGAGTCACTGTACGCTTCAATGTAAAAACTGTAATGAAAAGTTTATATGGACAACACAATTAGAAAATCATCAACGGGAGAGATGCGTGTATCGCACTGTTCCTTGTGAACTTGCTCCTCTGGGATGTTCTAAGGAGGTCAGTGAATTTTAGTAATTGTTGATCTATATAGAGCATTACCGAGAAGTCCTCCGTCTAAATATTTAGAATTTGAGATAGAAGATAAACTTATGGCTGCATTCAAGGTTATAGTTAGTTATTCGAATTCAAACAAAAGAAATCATAGGAGAATAGGATAACATTGTCTCTAGAATACATTCATACAATAGGCAGTTTAACAGATGGTGTTTTCATAGAGATTGTCTCTCTCAGCGTTTCTTTAAGAATATTTGACAGCTCATGATGAATTTTTCTATCGTTTAACTCGGAGTAACCACGTACTCAATGTTTATTTCTTTTAATAGGTTCCAATTTCGGACATTGAGAAGCATTATTTAGACAGTGAGCATCAGCAATATCTACTTGCATTTATAAAAGATAAAATTTTACATCTATACAATGGAATTCCAAAATTAACTTCACAGAACACACGTAACGAGCAATATGAGCATATGCTAACAGACTGTCTATCAAAAATCTGCTCTGTAGTTCAAAAAATTGATGTGATAAATAATGATTTAAACCAAGTTAATTCAAAGCGGCAGATAATGGAAAGCAAAATAATGGACATACGCCAACAACTGCTAAAGGTCAAGGAAGCATCAAAAAAGAGTATGAAACTATTTGAAATCATCCATAAAATGATCATAGAAATGAATCAATTAATCAGTGAAATCCAGTCAATATCAGTAAATGATTCCAATCTAATGGAGGCTGACGATATATTTACATGGAAGGTGAATACTATGATTTTATTAGAAAACGATTCTGTGACAATACACTCGAATCCGTTTCAATGTTCACAATGGGGCTATAGAATGAAAGTCAGTATGTGCCTACAAAAGACGGAACAGAGCTCTCGAGGCTTTCTAATGATGTCTTTTATGCTTTTACGAGGAGAGTATGATAGTATCCTGCACTGGCCCTTCTCTTATCCGATTACCTTCTGTGTAATGGATTTAATGAAAGCTCAAAATCACTTAGTTTATTCAATACGCCCGGATTCTCAAACAGCAATATTTGGTAGACCATTAAATGAAGCCAATACGCCATATCATATACCTCGTTTTTGCCAGTATGATAAGTTGATTGAAAATGGAAGTCATTATGTACGCGATGGTCACGCTTTTGTCAAGGTGCACATCGATTTTACTGAAAAAGGTGTGCATCCATTTCAATCGAAAGAGTCCTTAAAAAGTTCAATCATTTAGTATTGGTCATATACAGTAGAGTGCAAAAAAAATTGCCGTTGCATATATGAACTTTCCAGAATTTTTTTCTTATACATTCAAAGAAGAATATTCTGAAATCATGTCGAACATGGAGGTTAGGGACTATAAATATAATGAATGGTAATATCCTTTCCGAAGTTTCTATCAATTGAATAAAAATGACACCGAAAGTGAAACATAACTATCTGTCAACACATCGATCAGTGATCTTACATTATTATAATCTGGGTCATCGTTGTGCTGCTGAAATTGCTCGACAAACAAAGATACCTCTACTTACTATCCGGTATAGTTTAGCCAAGATTCTGAAAGAAGGTAGTGTGAAACATCGACGTGGTAATGGCCGACCACGAAAGATCACAGCCAAGGACAGCATTGCAATTGGTCAATGGATTCGAAGAAATAAAGAAATTACCGCCGAGGAAATTGTCGAAAAACTTTCATTAACTAAAAATTTGAACGTATCACGATGGACAGTGCTGCGTGAGCTTCATCGGTTAAGTTATAAGAATGTTTTACCTCGAGAGACTCCAATGTTGATAAACGAACAAAAAGAAAGACGTGTTCAATGGGCTTTGGCACACAAGAACGACGATTGGAACCCTACAATATTCTCTGGCGAAACCTCTTACCAATTATTCAGAAACACGATTCGTCGTTGGTCCAAATATGCTCAAGAAGAAAAAAAAAGAATTCCGAAGAATAAACAAAAAATAATGGTATGAAAAGCTTTTAGTATCAAGGGTCAAATATCGTGCCACTCTTTTCGAACCATCATGGATGGTCCTCTTTACGTTGAAATACTTCGAAAACATCTTCTTGGTGAAGCAAAAAAGCAATTTGGAAGTCGATGGCGATATCAGCAGGATAACGGTCCGAAACACACGGTAGAGTAACAAAACAATTTTTGAAAAACGAAGCACCTGAAACAATCGACTGGCCCAGCAATAGTTCGGATATTAATCCTATCGAGAACATGTGGTCCATACTTAAGCGACGTGTAGAAAAACGAAAACCATCGAATATCGACGAACTGGACCAATTTTTACATGAAGAATGGAAAAAAGTTGATATGACAATTATAAGTAATTTAGTGTATTCCATGAAATCGAGATGTTTGGCAATTGTTGATTCAAGGGGAGAAAGAACAAACTATTGAGTATTGTAGTTTTGTAGCATACTATGTATGTAAACTTTCTATGAAACAATAGATTTTCTTTAATAGCGATAAATAAGTAAAAATTGTGAAACTTTAACGGCAATTTTTTTGCACCCTACTGTATATATATTAATCAACTCACAAGCAATGATGTTGATTATCTTTCAAAATTATAACGTGATCGATTTTTTGAAAAACACTAAAACGTCTAACGCCTTTTATTCTTAATTGCTAAGGTCCGTAATGGGGATGGGTGTCTGTAGCGGAGACCCGTCACTAATGAGAACCTGTCTGTAAGAGGAGGGAGCACAGCGGATAGCCAGGCGACATGGGTGTGAGTGTGGGTATGGGTGTGGGCGGGGTGCGGGTGTGGGCGGGGTGCGGGTGTGGGCGGGGTGCGGGTGTGGGTGGAGGAAGGTGAAGAAGTAATACTAGCTACACCCACACCCACACCCTTTTCGAAAAACATACAAGTGTGGATGATCCGACAGTTGAGAATGTGGTGCGCTGTTTACTGTACGTTCGAAAATCGAGGGTGTGGGTGCACGTAAATACAAGACGACATTCACACCCATACCCATACCCATACCCATACCCTAGTTATTCTTTCTATTAGAATAATCTTCGTCTCTTGATCGTTTTTGCACATAGTACTTAATTCAATTTGTTTGACATTTAAGAAAAATCATAGTTACTTGCGGAAACGAGACAAAAGATTAAAAAAACCATTATGAATAGTTTCAGAATAGAGCTTTCTAGAGGTACTTTCAATGTTTCTTTCATATTTATTTAAAGATTAAAAGAAAAGTAAAGTTTTAGATGTACAAGTATTGTATGATTGTCTCTCAATCACTTCTTTTCACTAGTTTGATCCAAACTTCGTCTGGTGCAATCACTGTCCGTTCACGAATGTTAAATTTGCTTTCGAGATGCTCACTAGGCAGAATCGAATACTCGCGAAGCACTCGCACTAGTAGTATCTTCATCTCAATTAATGCAAAGCGCATGCCAATACAATGTCGTGGTCCCGCTCCAAACGGTAGATAAGCCATCGGATGACGTTTTGTTTCATGACGTTCGGGAAAGAAAACGTACGGATCTTCAGGACCCCAAAGATCGCGATCGTAATGAACTGAATAGACATCAGCATACACTAAGGTACCTGGAAAAGATAAAAGACAGGTAATTTGAGAAGCTATTTTCTGATAAAAATTATTATTAAGTCGGTGCAAAAGAACAAACGTAACTGGTTTTCTCAGTTTAGCTTCCCCTTACACAGATATGCTCATAATTTCATATACAACTGTCATAGATCAATAAAAGTTTTTTTTATAATACATGTAAGAGTTTCAAACGAAAAAATTTGTAGATTATAATACAATTCTTATGGATTCTCTGATGACTTAGAAAAAGATCGGAGTGTTTCGTACCATAAAAATATATCGTTACCTTTTTCAATTTTAATTCCTTGGATGATCGTATCTTCAGAGGCACTTCGTTGAACGGCTCCATTTGCAATGGGATACATTCTTAAGACCTCGGAAACAAACATGTCCATATAAGGCATCAGCGCAACTACGTCATAATCGGGATATTCTTTTGTTTCTTCGTCGGATTTATCACTATTGCTCAGTGGAAGTTGGTCGATTTCAGTCTGAAGTTTCTGGAGAACTTCTGGATGTCTAGCAAGTTCATACGTTGCATAAGCCAAAGCAGTTGATGTTGTTTCATATCCTGCCGCCATGAACATAAGGATATTGTTGATAATTTCTTCTCGAGTCAGCCGATAGTTTGCCTTGCTGCTGTCCTGCATTTCATCCTAGAAGAGAAATGTATTTATAATGGACATATAACTATCTTCAATCTCTCTAGCAAAATCGAATTTTTTTTATTTTTAATGGTAATTTTTCTTAGAGGTCGTAATAAAAGTTTTATTATAGTTTCTTCTGTCATTCTAAAGTTTTAATAATGATGGAAATGCTTTCGTACATCTCATTGTACTCAATTTTATATGCCAAGTCCGAATAAAATATTTTCAATACTGAGCGTTATAACAACTTTGTAGTACTTCAATCGTTCTTAGAATAACTATTTTTCGTCTTTTAAATCAATCTGTACTATAAAGATTTCCTATCCAAAATTTCATTTACGAAGTTGCAAATACAAAGTAATTACTCATCAAATGTATCGTGAACCAATTCAACCATACAAGATCTCAGGAAGATACTTTTTGAAATTTGATAGATTTTACTTACATTAATTGGCTCTTCAGTCATCACTTGTAACATTAATTGCAAAAGATCGACGCGTGAGGTAGGGGTCTGCTGCCGCTGTTCGACAATTGGGTGTAGTCGATTGAGGAGCCACATACCTGGTAGTTCAGGCAATTGTTTCTCTGATATCAAGGGTAGAAGACGCATATTGACGAAGGCTCGTACGGCGTTGATGCCAAAAAAGATTTTACCAATGATATTCTCTAACTCAGGCACAAGTTGAGCAAATCTGAAAAACCTATTCGACCTAATGTTACGAGTAAAGAACTCCTCCACTTTCTTGAAATATATATTATTTGGATTGTTTTGTAAATCGGTGTCGATTCCAAATGCACATCGACCTAAATGAATATTAGAAATGATAGCAATCAAAGCGTCTTTTTAGCTTACAAAATTCTCATTTTTTCTGTGTTGGAAACATATCTGGATATACTTAAGAGCATTTTTGGCATGCCTATGACATAATTTCATGGCAGAAAAAGAAATCCAAAATTCATAGACTACAAAGGAATCTTAATCATCCTTTACTTTTGTCTTGGAGGAAAAGAATACCCGAGGATAGTATACTTACATATAACGTCCATTGTCATTCGCTTATAGTATAAGTAGATATTGAATTCACTGCCGTTTGTTACATGATCGGTTAATTTTTCCATTACATTACTGATACATCCATTTATAAGAGGACTCATCATTTTTAGTTTGGCTGCAGTGAATGTTGGATTTATCACGTGACGATGCCGACGCCATTTTGGACCTGATGCACTAAAGACGTTTTGAGTTCTATTACCTGCGAAAACGCTCCTACGCGCATGAAAGGTGAAAAATTGCTTGATGAAAACTTCTTGAAGAAAATCAGGATCGCTAACAACAAAGGTTGGTACAGATCCTTGATAAATTCCGTATATCTTGCCATATTGTTTTGTCCAACTTTCAAGCTGACGGTGAAAGGATGCAGCATTCCACAACGTTTTAAAATGACCAAAGAAAAAACGGAAAGGTGGCGTGGGAATATTGCGCCGAGTAAAGTATTGATAACGTTGCCGCAGTAAAAAAAGGTAATAGGTTGTAAGACCAATGAATACGAGAAGCAGAATTATGGATAAAGCTAACATTTTATTTTTTGCTTTAGTAACACCGATGCAGAAAATAATGTTAAAATGAAAAAATTGTGTTTCTTTATATAGATTGATGACAGACAAGCTTTTTCTTGTTCGTAATACGTTAAAATTTAAAGTACGTTTGATAACGAAAGACTATGTTGAGTCATACACACCTTTTCGTACTTTTGGGATGCGAGCGGATGATGTATATTGAATTCTTTCTTTTTTTCCATTC